TTCAGTCCGATGCATGGTGGGGCCCGATGCCGGGCGTGGCCTGATGTAGTGGGGAAGGCCCAATGTATGCTATTATGTGTATGGTATGTGGTAGTTTAGGGAGACTCACTAAGCTTCGTGCTTACAGTTTTCAGTTTTGGTTTCAGGTACTTCCGGTAGTAAGGGAAAGAGCTCGGGATGATTGCAGTGCAAACACCATTCTTGCAGCCTGAGATGTTTAGAATCTGATATTTTGAGACATGATTTTGATACAAAATTTTGTATGATGATTTGAGATACACAACTTATGATTTTATTGTGATGTTTGATGGGTTACGGTTTTCTTAAATGACTTTTAAAACGAAATTTTTGGACCGTATTTTATGGATGTTTCAAGGCCAGTTCCGGATACAATGTAGGCTGACTTTGTGATTGTCAATGTTTAACACAAACATGTTATAAATATATTTAATTTATATTGTTGGTCTATGAAGAAAGATTAGCTCAAGAGAGCGACTATAGAGTACAATCAACAAACAAATCTAAACAGAAAGAATCCTAAACAGCCTCTATGAACATTCTCATTGAACCAATTAGTATCAACAAAAACCCTTATTTAACAACAAAAATGAAAAATTAGCAATGTAAGTCATAATATCAACAAGTAACATACGAGTATACTTTCTGTGTTTACTATTATAAGCACGATCAAGTAACCTTCGAGATAAAATGAAACGGATGCCAGGGTTTTCGATTAGACTGAGAGTTCCAATTCACGAATCAGGAGAGACGAAATGGATAATATGAATGTGATAGAGAAAATAGATTCAGTGAGGAATCGTGCTGGCCTGCAAACGATGGCGAAAAAAACAAAACGACGGCGAAAAAAAATAAGAGATGTGGTCGGAAGCAATGAAATTAGGCTGTCTGAAAGTTTATTGAGTTCCATCTTCTGATTATCGGATTTGGCATCTCCGACTTCAAGGTCTCTCTGTCCGTCGCCGTCAATCTGGTCATCGTCGGTAATATTTAAGTAGGTGCAGGCGAGAATCAAGAGAGCAAACGCAATGAGACCCAAAACGACAGCTAAACCTCCGAAGAAGTATGGGACCGGTGTATGCCACGACGCGACTGTTTAACCACCGCCTGCGACGAAGGAGCCATTCTCATCACTGTTTCTTCAGTTTTGCTTTTGGTGATGTTGGATTAGATTAGAAAGTGAACAGTTAGATTTGTTAATGGTGGATGAGTAGATTAGGAACTGGTTCCATTTCAAAGAATTTATATACGATAAAATCTGATTTTTTCTTTTCATTTTTTTATTCTTGTATAATTTAATATTACATACTTTTTTTAATTATTATATTGAAATTATATTCCCTTTCTAAAATCTAATCTTACGGTGAATGGAATATAAAAGGCATTTTAAATTTTTATATATCTTTTACATAATTGTTTATCACAATATTTATAGAGAAATTAAATATCCTCCTACCATTTCTTCCTACTTTATCTTCCTACCCATTTGAAATGGTGACATGTGTCATATTTTGATAAAATTAATTATATTTTAAGACACTTGTCATCATTTAAAGTGAGTAGGAAGATAATTACGAGGAAAAATAGAAGGATATTTAATTTCTCATATTTATATGATATAATAACAATATTTGTATAATATATTTACTTTTATATATCACTACGTTCAATTATTTTCATTATAAACTTTTAAACATAACTTACACATACCTAAACATATCCTAATTTAATATTTAATATGTATACTCTTTTTATTATGTTATATTAATTGTATAAAAAATATGAACATGTATATATGTGAAACTAACGGGCCATATTATAAAGTTTTATAAAAATATTGCAATTACATATTACATATTACCAAATTGTAGGTTTACATGTTATTTCTTTGTAATTTGTAATTTACTCATATTTTGTCAATATAGACATTCTACCCATTTGTTCAACATATGAATATTATATATGAATTACTTATTGTTATCTGTTAGGCATCTTATTTTATAAAGTAATTCGAGTTATCTGTTAACGTTGCAGACATACAATGCATTCAATTTCTTCTAATAAGATTAGAAAATTAAATAGTTTCTACTTAGATAATACAAATAATATTAATTTGGGTACTACATCAACACATCTATCTTCAACAACTACAATTGTTAATACATCGATTTACGAAGGTATGTTTCATCATACAATTTTTTTTATTATTTCATATTTTTAAACTCACATAATATATATTTTAATTACATACACATGTATTAACATAAAAAAATAGATAAATCGGAAAAATTTTCGTCCGCTGCAAATAAGTATTCCTCGACACTGGTTACCGATGTTTACAAAAGGTACGCTTATTTCTTCAATTTTATTATAAAAAACATATTTTTTTACCTAATTATACATTTTATAACCTATCCTATTATCGTTTATGCAGAAAACAACAATAACATATACCACTTTCAAGCCAGAGAGAAAAGAAGACAAAAAAATTTATATTTGGAAAATAAAAGATCGAAGAAATTGAATACAAGATCCAACGTTCGAAGTACATAAATATCACATCTCTTAAAAAACATGGATAATTGTAAAATTCTTATTTTATATTCCATGTTTTACGCTTAATTTACATTTATATACAATACATGATTACTCAATTTTTTTATTAGCCTGCAATACTAGATGATTTCATCTTATTACTTTATTTTATATGATATGTCTTCAATTTTCATAAGTTTTTGTTATTTACAGATCAATCAACCAACGTTGTTCGTCGAACTGAAAATGTCAATTCATTTAAATAGCCAGGAATCCAAATTACAACCGTACAATATTCTCCTTCTTTTCCAAATGTTAGAACTCCGTTATCTAACATTACAAATTGTAATAATTTTTTGTTTTAAAAATATACTATTATCCAATTTATATATAATCCGGATATATATATACTGACTTTATTTATTTTGTTCAGATAATATTAGTTTTGATAACTACACCACTTCCAACCTACCAAACAAAAGACAGTACTATGTAGTTTCAAATGATATGACATCGAAAAATGCATCTACAATAACTGGTTCTTCATCAACAATGAAGTTAAATCCAGGATGTCATAAATTAAAAAGGAAGTCAAAACATTTATCCCCTATCCCGTTGATTGATTTGACAGAAGATTTAGAAAATATATATCAACTCATATATGAAAACGTAATAGCTGGTATCTTAAAAGGTAATCAAATAATAATATCCATTTTCACTTTTTTACAATTCAAATACTGTGTTGTATATACTTATAAAATTAACTGATATTTTTTCTATGCCTTTTATTTTATAGAATATTTGGATCATGGTGATCAAAATGTTGTATGTCAAACATGTCATGCAAAGTTATGGAGAAATGAATCCATTAGAGGTAAAGAAAAAGGGAACACAGACTATTCATTATGTTGTGATTATGGCAAAGTTCAACTTCCAGATTTAAAGAAAGCACCCCTAAGTTATGAAAGAATGTTTCGAGAAACAGATTCTAAAAGTAAACACTTCATGAAAAACATTTGACGTTACAATTCAATGTTTTCTTTTACGTCGATGGGTGGTAGAATTGATTGTCCAATCAATAGAGGAAACGATTCATACATTTTCAGACTGGGTGGTCAAAATTATCATAGTATTGGAAGCCTTTTAGCAGCAAAAGGGACGGAACCAAAATTCTCTCAGTTATACATTTATGATACTGATAACGAAATTTCAAATAGACAAAAATGCTTTGGGTATTTTTTCAAACTTTCTATTCATGATTAATTATAATATATATATATATATATATATATATATATATATATATATACATACTAATATTATGTATAAGGTCAATTTCTTTAGTAGGGAAAAGGATCAATCAACATCAGTTGATAGTGATATTATTGAAGATATTAAGCTGATGTTGGATTCAAATAATGTCTTGGTTAGATCTTATAGAATGGTAAGAGATACTTTTCTGAAAAATCCTGAAGTTGATATGAAATTACGACTTATCGGGAGAAGGGAGCGAGATGGAAGAACATATAACCTACCAACTGCTTCTGAGGTTGCCGCTTTAATTGTCGGTGACATTTGTGATTCAATTGAAAAGAGGGATATTGTTGTTCAAACAAAAACTGGTTTTCTACAACGTATCAGTGAATTGCATCATTCGTACCTTCCTCTCCATTATCTACTGCTATTTCCATATGGGATGATGGTTACAGTTTTGACATTCTTCATAGAGGTGTGTCATTTACGACCAACAGCAAGCGGGCCAAATGTACAATGAGAGAATATTTCGCTTATAGAATTCAAGACAGAGATAATTCGTTCTCTCTCATTCTTAATTCAAAAAGGTTGTTTCAACAGTTTCTGGTAGATGCCTATACTATGATGGAAACAGAGAGATTGTACTACATACGTAGGCAACAACATGTCCTTAGATGCGAGTCTTATGAGAATTTACATAACTAAAAAGCTCAAGGAACCACTAATATCTCCAATGTCGACCAACGTGTCATATTACCTTCGTCCTTTACTAGTGGCGCACGCTATATACTGCAAAACTATTTGGATGCCATGTCACTATGTAAATGGTTTGGATATACGGATTTCTTCATAACCTTTACGTGTAATCCCAAATGGCCAGAGATTAAAAGGTTTCTTAAGGATACTTCACTTGAACCAGAAGATAGGCCTGATATACTATGTAGGTTGTTCAAGATCAAGCTTGATGCATTCATTAAAGACTCAAGGGAGAATCACATTTTCGGCAAAGTTCAAGCATGTAATTAAAACTATATTTTTTCATTATTTATAAATATTACTCTTATTATTCTATATTTTTTTATATGTTTTTACAATCTAATCATATTTTGTTTTTTTTTGCAAAATATTTTACAGATGTTTATACCATTGAATTTCAAAAGAGAGGTTTGCCGCATAGTCATATATGTCTATTTATGCATTCCGACAACAAGCTACCAACTGTTGAATTTACCGATCCGATAATTTCCGCCGAGATACCAGACAAAATTGAAGATCCAAAATTGTATTCACTTGTGAATGAGTTTATGATTCATGGTCCACATGGAGCTGAAAATATCAATTGTCCATGCATGGTGGATAAAAAGTGCTCAAAAAACTTTCCAAAACAATTTTGTAATCATTCGTCTGTTGATCAAAATGGTTTTTCGTTATATAGGCAAAGAAACGATGGTCATTTTGTAGAAAAATCGGGTGTCAAGTTGGATAATAGAAATGTTGTTCCATACAACAAATATCTATTGAAAGATATCAGGCACATATTAATGTTGAATGTTGCAATCAGGGATCTTCTATAAAGTATTTGTTTAAATACACAAACAAGGGTCCTGATAGAGCTACAGTTGCTGTTGTACGAGCCAACAATGAATATGAAAATAATGATGTGGTCGATGAAATAGCTGAATATTACGATTGTAGATATTTATCTGCATGTGAAGCATCATGGCGAATTTTTAAATATGATGTTCATTGCAGGTATCCTTCTGTGGCCAGACTACATTTTCATCTTCCTAATCAACAACAGATTGTATATGGCGAAGATGATGATATTGACGATGTTCTGGACAAACCTTCTATTGCTGCTTGAAATTTCACATCTTGGATGGAGTGTAATGCAATTAATAGTGAAGCACGAGAACTTACATATGTTGAATTTCCTACAAAGTTTGTTTGGATATTAAATGGTCGGTTTTGGAATCGAAGGAAAGTAGGAAAAGCCATTGGTAGAATCATTCGGTTTCACCTAATCTTGGTGAAGCTTATTTCTTAAGGGTTCTTTTAAATAAAGTTAAAGGTCTGACGTCATTTGATGAAATTCGCACGGTAAATGGTGAAACACATTCTTCTTTTAGAGATGTTTGTTATGCACTCGGACTATTAGATGATGACAAGTAATACATCGATGCAATTAAAGAAGCAAGCCATTATGCATCTGGTTTTTATCTACGCTTCTTATTTGCTGCATTGTTGATGTGTAATAGTATGTCTAAACCAGAGGCAGTTCGGGAAAATACATGGGAATATTTGGCGGATGAAATTCTATATAACCAACAACAAAGGTTCAAGTCTACAGGTATTAAGTTTTTTTCTTAATTTGTATTTAAAATAATTTCTTTTTATTATTCAACACCCATTAAATAGTTATTAAAAATATTATTAAATATCATATTTTGTATTTTGTAATTAATTTTATATTTATGGTGCAGATTTATCACTCGGTGAAGATGAACTTAAGAACTTAACTTTGTTCAAAATAGAACAAATTTTACTTTGAAACAGCTCCACTCTAAAAAAGTTCACAAAGATGCCTTACCGAGATGTTGAATCAGTTTCTTCTTCAAACAATCGACTTATCACCGAGGAGCTAGATTACGACATTCCCGTTATAAAGAATGACTTTGATCGTATGTTTCTTGCATTAACAGATGAGCAACGTAACATTTTCCTTAACATCATTAGCGTTGTCAAAGAAAATAAAGGAGGTGTCTTCTTCTTTTATGGTTATAGTGGAACGGGTAAAACTTTTCTATGGAAGACAATATCTGCAACAATTAGATGTGATGGTAATATTGTTTTAAATGTTGCTTCAAGCGGTATTACTTAGTTATTATTGCCCGGTGGTAGAACAACACACTCTCGATTTATACTTCCTTTTGAACTTACATAGGATTATGTTTGTAAAATAAATCCAGATGGTGAGTTGGCTAGCTTATTAAGAAAAACCTTTTTTGATAATTTGGGATGAAGCACCTATGGTCCATAAGCATGCATTTGAAGCTTTAGATCGAACTTTGAAAGATGTATTAAGGTGTGGAAATTCTAGCACCTCAAATATTCCATTTAGAGGGAAAGTTATTATCTTTGGAGGGGATTTCATACATATTCAACCTGTTGTTCCGATTAGCAGTAGACAGAACATTGTTAATGCTTCTTTGAGTTCTTCATATTTATGGCAACATTGCAAAGTTTATAGATTAACAAAAAACATGAGGCTAACTGTGGGAAGTGATCAATCTGATATAGAAAAAATAAAAGATTTTGCAAATTAGTTATTGGATATAGGAGAAGGCAAACTCGGTGGTCCGAACGATGGCGAAACGATTATCGATATTCCAGATGATATTCTCATTAATGATCCAGATGATCCTATAGGTTCATTAATTGAGTTTGTATATCCTTCAATTTTGGAGAAGTATAGCAGTACAAATTATTTCCAAGAAAGAGCGATACTTGCTCCAAAGAATGAAGTTGTTCAAGAAATAAACGACCGTTTGCTTAAGAAGTTTCCAGGAAATGAGGTTGAATATTTAAGTTCAGATAGCTTATGTGAGTCTGAATTTGTCCATGATCAGTTTGATGCAAATTTATTCTCGTCTGATGTATTAAATAGTCTCAAAGTATCCGGTCTACCAAATCATAAGTTAGTTTTAAAAATTGGTGTTCCAGTAATGTTACTGAGAAATATTGATCAGAAAAACGACTTATGTAATGGCACAAGACTACAGGTGATATCATTGGGCAAACGTATAATTGAGGCACGTATAATATCTGGAACTAATATTGGAAACCAGACTTTTATTCCAAGAATGTCTTTAAGTCCATCAGAAAAAAAATTCTCTTCAAATTCACAAGAAGACAATTTTCTTTGGCCGTATGTTTTGCAATGACTATTAATAAGAGTCAAGGACAATCGTTATCGAAGGTTGGTTTGTTTCTCAAAGATCCAGTTTTTTCACATGGGTAATTGTATGTTGCCCTATCTAGAGTTCAAAGGAGAGAGAGATTAAAATTATTAATTTTAGATAAAGATGGTAGACTCACAAATAAAACTTCCAATGTTGTTTATAAGGAAGTTTTTCGCAATTTATAACAAACTTTTTTGTAGCATCCTTTTATCATTTTTATCAAATCACACTTCATCCATCATATTAATTAATTTATTTATTTATAATTACGTATTGTATTTTTTTTATGTTATTTTCATTACAGCCATGTTTTTTTTTTGTATCAAATCAATTACGATGTTTTTTTGGGTTTTTTTTGTCATTACTCAAACATATGTTGCATTATATAAAGTCATGACTTTTATAAAATATGTGGATTTATATATTTAAATAAATACTTAAAATTTACAAAGTTATCAAAAATAGAGAACATATCCAAAGAAAAACACCACCATTGCACGGATTTCAAGGTTATGACCAGTAAGCCTAAAAAAGAAACACATGATGTAGTAAATCAACATAAAATGTTGAAAATAAACTGCTGAAGACAATAATAATTTTTATTAATCTCACGAAATTAGTGGAGTTGAAAATTTATTGGGATGATAAGTTATAATGGCAAAAGTGGCGTTTTACGGTTTTAGCCAACAAATGTTTTTTCTTCCCACTCGCTCGCTTGTGGTTGTGTCATCATCTTTGTATGTTCAACGATAATCATGTACCAAAAGTAAGGGTTTTAAAAATCTCCATTTGTAATTAAATATTTACAACTCAGAAAATTATTAAAAAAATACAATATTATAATTCATAAGTTTTCTAAATTAATGATATATTACTTTATTACATAATTAATTAAATTTTTAATTCTATTTAAAATTAACACCCGTGGGTTGTACGGGTATTAGCCTAGTTTCAATATAAAACATAGTTATTTCTATGATTGATCGTGTTTGTTTTTTTATTTTCACTATATTGAAATTTATATTACGTTCTACATAATCAGGATTTTATTAAATATCCATAAATACAAATCATCAATCAAAATTCAAACCAGTTTACAATGTTATTCATTATATCATTATAATGTAATTAAAATTATTTTTTAAATTTCTCATCCTTATAACCACGAAATATAACCTAATACACAATAAAATAAAGTTTAATGCACGAGAGTTCAAAGAAAATTTGTCCAGAAAATTAGGAACCACAACACAAATTATCTAAAACCAAGATTTGTATAATTTACTCTATTTTTTGAATGGTATTCAAAAACATCCCACGGAATAACACACGCGCGCCTACGCGCACATGCATACGTGCCCTTCTAATGCGTTTCTTCTACAAACTAACTTTAAACTCAATAATCCCAATTTCCACTCATTGACGTTGGAATTTGTTTCATCTTTTTCCGCGTTTCTCTCCATCTGCAATTTCAGAAATCCCTAATCACCCAATCGTATTTGATTAATCTGTCATCTCTTATTGATCGTAATTGTTAATGGACACTCTAATTAATCTCGTCAACAAACTCCAGAAAGCATGCACAGCCCTAGGCGACTTCGGTGAAGAATCCTCTCTTCCTACTCTCTGGGACGCCTTGCCTACAATCGCCGTCGTCGGCGGTCAGGTATAAATATGCAGATATTTAATCGCCGATCATAATTTCTTTTCTTTTCAATGCTCTTTGATCCAATCAATGAGTTAATTCAAGACGTTCATTCACTTGTGATTTGTTGCAAGCATTTAAGTTCTCAATATAGTTTATCGTGTTTGTGTTTCTTTGGTATTTATCTGATATTTCAACTTCGGTCTGGAGAAAGATGATCTGTAATTCTAACCCCTATTAATATCTATTGACACGACTACATTTATCTTCTTGATTTAGATCAAAGTGTAAAACTGTGAGAAATTGTGTAAGCAGTTTTTATTCGTGCAAATGTACTTCACTCTAATCAATTTCCATAAATTGCTTTTAGAGCTCTGGAAAATCATCTGTGTTGGAGAGTGTCGTTGGCAAGGATTTTTTGCCTCGTGGTTCTGGTAATTATTATATCTTCAATATTTTCTGATTCAAATTTGTGGATATAAAATATGATTAACAGCATCTATTTGCAGGAATTGTCACTCGGCGTCCTCTTGTTCTACAGCTTCATAAGATCGAAGAAGGAAAAGAATATGCAGAGTTTGCTCACCTTCCAAGAAAATGGTTCACTGATTTTGGTATCATGACTAAAAATTTTATGATCCTTTTGTAATTCTCAATCACTCTGAATGATCTTGTTACAAGTTTATATACTTTTTTAGCTGCTGTGAGGAAGGAGATTGGTGATGAAACTGACAGAGTGACAGGTCGTACCAAACAGATTTCATCTGTTCCTATATATCTCAGTATCTATTCTCCTAATGGTAAGATATATATAATTATAAACAAATTATGTTTCATGAACATCATATCAAATGTAGAAAACATAATAACTTACTAATCAATCTATTATGTCTGAATTCTGATCTTTTATAGTTGTGAACTTGACCCTCATTGACCTTCCTGGTTTGACAAAAATAGCTGTTGGTAAGTTTACACCATTTATAATCTTTTGCAATTTAACTTAACTTCTCTCTGTGATTATTGATTTATATTATATATTTGTAGAGGGGCAGTCTGATAGCATTGTGCAAGATATTGAAAACATGGTGAGGTCCTACATTGAAAAGGTATATATATATTTATATACAAATGTACCCAAATCTTATTATGCTGAAAAGAATTGAAGAATAATATTAATATTCATTTTCAATTGCATTTGGATATTGTCTTGCAGCCTAACTGCATTATTCTAGCAGTTTCTCCTGCCAACCAGGATCT